CAAACATCAAACTACAAGTCACGGATATGGTTCGAAACCTAACGATATTATTTAGTCCCCTAAGATTGAAGATAAGTCGGCATCCGAACATGTCACTCACTAGTAAAATTTAAGTATCATAGATATAGTTGAACACACTTTAGATAAACTCAGTACATTTAATGTGTCAATCTAAAATACATTAGTAGCGTTTATATTTTAGTCCTAAGATTTTAGAACCATATACAGTCTTCTCTTTCTCCATAATCCTACTGAAAGTTTTAGTTTATATATTGTCTAGAGAAACATAGAAATTAGGCATTGTAGTTACATATATGATTTTCCGAAAATTGTTTTTTTCCAGATAGCTTCTGCAAATCATGAACCTATTTCGTCCAGCATTGCTTATCCAAAACCTAGTGACATTATGGAATGCTTCTCAACTAATCTGGGATGTGACCTTTTCAAAATGGTAATATTTTTGTGTGTAGTTTGGATGGATTAATGTTTGCATCGTTTTCGAGCGACTTTCAACTATCATTAGCTAAGTGGGTTTTAATTTCTCACTGATCGGGAAAATAGAAGTTGTAATACTCCAGACATCTAATTTACTTTTTTGATGGACAAATATGTTAGTTCCTTCTAGATTTTATCATCTGATGTAATAACTGAAGTGTATTGGTTTTGGTTTAATAACCAAAAGTTAGGTTCGTGATAATGACAAAGTTATGCCACTTAAACAGTTAGGGCATAAAGATCACAAGACATGGAAACTGTTTTGCGTAAAGTGATGAACTTAGTGCATGTAGATTTTATTGCTATTTACAGCCGAAAAGTTCATTTTATGTTCGGTATAAAAAAGTGCTAAACGTTGAAAAGCTGAAGACTTGATACTTGTTGATATGAACCACAGCCAGTTTGTCGAATTTATTTTTCTATTATTTTCTAAACGAAATTTCCGAATATTATCCACTGGATTGTACAACATTATATAAGCGAATCAGATGAGAATTATAGGATAATACATGGATAGGCACTTTTACCTTATCTTGAAATATCACTTACTTCTTTTAGGCGATCTAAATTCCACGAACTTTTTGTGAATAGTAGTTTTAAGCAGAAGCACTTACAGCAATGATTAATAAGAATTAATAAGGAGTTTAACATATCATTTTTGCCTAACGATGTTTCCCACCAAACGATTAAATTATTTACATACTAAGTCATTGAGATTCAAGTTTCTTACTGATGTGTCGAAAACTACTAAGTTCAAAAAGCAAACCAGTACCTTGCTTCAGAGTTTTCCGATCATAAACCTCTATAACTAGTAATTACATGTAAATACCACTAAAATATATACTTCTTTACACTACTGAGAGTTAAAGAACCTACTACTTATATAATACTCAGTGTTGACTTGAACAGTTAATACATGTTATCAGGTGTATATTCTGGTGTAACTCAGGCATAGACCGTTCATTGTCTATCCCCGTAATTACGTTCTTTGCCGTAAAGAACCTTGAGTATTTCTATACAAACGTACATACAAATTTAAGATTCTCAAAGACATTGCTACATACCTAGCTAAACCACGGGAGAAACATGTCAACATTCTACCTAACAGAAATATTCAAGACCTCAAAATAAACTCCCGCAAATATTTGACTTGCTGATAAGTTCATTTTGTTTGAGCTAAGGTCTCATGACAGATTACTAAGGGCGAACAACTAATCTTGATTATCTACTACGACAAAATTGAGGGATGCATACCAGATATCTAATCCCACCCACAATCTGAAGAAACTTTCAACTGGCCAACGCTTCTGAATGCTTGGCACTTTTCCATCATGCTTCTTAACCCCAGTAACGATTTATCATCATTATCTGGGTTAAAATGACTATAGTAATGATTCCAGGACAAAACCATACTGTCCAAGAAGTTTCTTCTGATTGTATTTCCTTGTTACCAGAATATTTTTCCTTGATAAGTTATTTTATTTTATGTTAGTTTGAACCCACTTTCATTTAGTTTGTTCACTTGCAAAATTTCTTCATTCCCATTCACATATTCCCAACTGATCGTGTTTTTGTTTACAGTATCTCAGTCCTGTAGATTATAAATATGTACAAATGTTAAAAACACCTGTACCTGCACAAACCTACCTCCCATTGGGCCTACATGAGATAAAGATATCACATCTAGTCAGTATTCTGTTAATAGGACTAACTGGGAAACGAACTTCAACACCAACATGTCCACCTTTTAATGAACGGGGTCCTTACACATATTGGATGGGATGTAAGTAAATGATATTCGTTTTCCTGTTTAGTATTTACTGAAAGTTGATGTTTAGATATGTTGAACATATAAAATAAGAATCTTTGGAGCAAAACTCGTTTCAGTTATTTTATTATATTCAAGAGCTGTTTTGAAACCACTTCAGTAACTCACTACATACATATCAGTCAGTAAAGGAAGAAAGAATTAGTTGGTAGAAAGAGAGATATGAAGTGATTTTAATCTCATAGTTTAGCGGAAGACAGAGAGTGTATACACCTCAGTCAGTCAGTAACAACGTGGAACTTCGTACGTACGTACATCAGTTCGAGTTGTCATACCACATTAGCACAGAGATTCAGTTATCGATTCAAATCCCGTAGTGGAAGAGGTAGTGATAGGGAACATTAGGGTTTGATGATGTTATTTAAGGAGTATAGTCCAGTGGAATTTGGAGGCCCCCAAATGCCCTGGTAAGGCCGAGAGTGGGGAGAGTCCGCTCTCCCTCTCGAAATGCTCTCACATGGCCATGCGTATATAGCCCCTGCCAGGGAAGTCCTACTCACTGCCTTCTCGTGGCGGGGGTGTTGTTTACAAAAATGAGAGGACGAAAAGCGAATGTCTGGCGCTTTAACCGGACCCCAAACCAATGGTGCACATGGGCTCCAGTATCCTGCGGGAACAAATGGCGTATGAACCAATCGTTGGTCACCGGCTACCATGGGACTGCATCTCCTCACGATGCTCCACTGCCTTGTGGGTCAGACGTTCAGGTCAAAGGCTCGGGGTGTGGCCCCCTAAGACAACCACCTGCCTCGGTTTGGGCACCCGGGCAGTATCACAGCCCTCACACAAATCAATTGAGATTTGTGTGGCGCATATGTATTTTGGTGCCTCCCTGTACCTATACTTATGTGTTAAAATAAATAAATAAAATCCAGTGGAATAGACTTAGACAAAAAATAAAAGACATGAAGAATTCAGAAGATTAGAGTTTGAGAGAACACAAAGAGTGGATGCACCTGCGCCATTGCAAACGATTTTCAGCCATGTCATTCAAGGTCTCTAACCATCGGTTGCTATCACCTCGCGGTCCCCAACCAAGTAGTCTACACCTACCAACATGGCTCAATCCACTTGTTAGTGACTTCATGGATTCGTGCCATGTTTTGGTCTGGCCGCCCCTAGCTTTCTTCCAACCTACTCCTACACCATAAAACACCGCACGTCGGGGCAGCCGGTGGTCGGGCATGCGCAACACATGTCCCAGCCATCTCACTACTTCATCAATTGATTTGCCATCCTTACCTAGTACCGGTTTCCTAACAATTGAGTTACTTACTTGGTGGTCCCAGGATATACGAGCAATGCTTCTAAGACTCCTATGGTCGAATACTAGTAACCTACGAATATCCTCTCCTCTTATCGACCACGTTTTATAGCTATAAAGTAGGACGGAACGGACTGCTGCGCAATAAACCCGTCCTTTGGTTGATAGACGGATATCTCGCCTACGCCAAAAATGACGCAAGTTGGCAAATACTAGTCGAGCCTTGTGTATCCGTGCTGAGATTTCGTCACGCACCAGACCACAAGGGCTGATGAGACTCCCAAGATACGTGAAGTGGTCGACACGCCCAATTACTCCACTCCCTATCACTAGTTCGGATGTCGACGCAACCCAATCCTGAACCAACATTTTGCATTTCGAGGGAGAGAGTCGCATCTCGAACATGCTTGCATTGTTGCTTACGGTGGTCAGCAGACTCTGCATTTTGTCAGCGTCTTCACCAAATAGAACTATGTCATCGGCATATTCTAAGTCAACAAGTGGATCTCCCGGTAGAAGTTCAGCTCCTAGAAATTTAGATGAGGAAAGTGTCATCTCTAAAAGGACGTCAACAACAAAGTTAAACAAGAATGAGGAGAGTGGACAGCCCTGACGAACACCACTTAAGGTAATCAGTTCTGATGACAATTCGCCATAAGCTCTCACTCGACCAGTTGTATCCCAGTAGGTAGCCTTTACAAGGATAATGTACTTCTTTGGTACTCCTTTCAGTGCCAAACACTGCCATAAAACCTCACGATCAACAGAGTCGAATACCGCCTTAAGGTCGAGAAATACTACTATTGTGGAGCGTCTGAATGTGTCTATGTTCTAGGACCTGAAGTAGTGTGAACATCTAGTCTACACAACCACGTCCAGGTCGAAAACCAGCCTGGTTTTCTCTAGTCTGCTCTTCACGAGCTTTGGTTGGTCGTCGAAGTATTATTGAAGCTAATATTTTAGACGCTATATTAGTCAAACTAATATCTTTGTGATTGTCACAAGAGGACTTTTGTCCTTTCTCATAAACTGGCACAATCAGTTATTGAGACCAGTCAGATCGGATTACGTCCAGTTCCCAGATTCTACCTAAGACCTCAGTCAATCTCGTTGCTAATACTGGACCACCATCCTTAAAAATCTCAGGAGTACACCTGTCAGGGCCTGTTGCTCTCCCGCGTTTCAGATTTCCTATGGCTCTTTCAACTTCGTAAAGAGTCGGAGGACTTATATTAACTTGCCATTCAGGTAGATTGGAGATCGTGGGAAACTGAAGTGTGGCTGAAGGTCAGTTGAGCTGACCCCTAAAGTGTTCTGCCCATCGATCCAATCTCCTGGATTGAGAATGAATAATATGTCCATCTTTCTCTGAGATTGTTTCGCTAACAGTTGGGTTCCTAATACCGGTTTCCTTAAGAAGTCTGAACAGTTGCCTGCTGTTACCTATTGCATACATACATATAGTTACTTTTATCTAATTACATTGTATTTCTACTCTAATTGTCAGTTTTTATATTAGTGATATATAAGGTCAATCTTCAGTTGTTATTACAAGCCACAATGTCCCGTCATGTTTTTTGCTGTATTTAGTTATAGCACATTTTGATGACGTTAGCTACTAAAAACTTACCTGTTAATTCAAAGGAAAGATATAAGATATTAAACGGTAAATATATTCATCTTTACACTTGTCTCATTCCATCAATTCCCATAAACATAACTGGTACAAAGAATGCCTGTCGCACATATTTTGGATATGCATTCTCTTTGCTCAAACAGTTGCAAGTGTTCCCTTTTAGTAATTCCACTCTCTTCTTTTTTTCCAAAAAAAAAACAGATTTCAACGGCTCTGAACAGTGTTACTTCGCACGCATGGACATAACATCACAATTTTTGATGATGGAAAATGAAAAACTCAAAGCCCCGGCCTGGATGCGTAGTCGCGAACATTCTGAAAGGTTCTTGCGCTGGTATCGCAGTGCATCCCCAACGGTTGATGGATTCAGTGTTGCGCTAGGTATTTTTCTCATGACCCTCACACTTCTCATAGCTCTGTACATCAAGGAGGTCATTAATAAGAAAATAATACAAATACCTGCACAAATGGAAATTTTATATACATCTGACAACGAAAGTCGTTTCGCACCTACATAAAAATTTGTTTTTGAAAAAGATGTACATACAGAATATATTCTTTTAGACAAATTTCACTTTCTTCGCAGCATTTGATGGGTGTAGAGCACTTCGTTCTTGCGCAACCTTCTGAGCCTTTTCAACCAGACTAGTCAGTTGGCCGTTTTCACCCAGCATCTTGAGAAGCTCCACGATAAGTGGCAAATAGTTGTGTCGACGACGAATGTTTTCTGCGCGATACGCTGCAATTTTCTTCTTTTCACTGGCGATATTATTCATTAGTTCTGTTATGTAGGCAGATTCTGGCTACAAAGCAGGTGTTGTAACATGACAGGATTAATTATTATTATTATTATTATTATTATTATTATTATTATATAACTAAGCCTCACATTGTAAAGTGCTAATATGTACCAAATATAGATTGTATTTACCAATACAACGGTACCTAAGTAAAGTAATGGTATCACAAATTCAAAAGCTTTTTGAAGTTTCGGGTTTTACAAACCTTACATGGGTGACAGTCATACAAATAATATTTTCCCCCTAACCCTGATGAAGGTTTCAAATATGAGACTCGACGGTTAAAAGCTCGTATAAATACTTGTCAATCACATCTCGTACGATTAAAAAGTTTGGCAAACAGTAAGTTGAGGGCTCCAAAATGCTCCCATTTAATAACGCATAAATACAATGCAAATACTGCGGGATCTCTTTTTATCTTCACTTTCAGAAGAACGGGAATCAACACATTTTGCCTGTTATCTGGGGACTTTTTGACTTTCAGGATGCAGATTTTATTCAAGCTATGCAACCCCCACTTAACCAGTCTACATTCGGATCACACTGCAAAATCGTGTATGGAGGACAGTTGACAGATGCATTCCAAGTGAAGACCGGTGTCAGACTGGCTTATGAAGACCTCCACATGTCAGTAGAAGCACGGACTACACTGGACAGCTAAGATGCAGCTAGACGATTTAGACAGATGACCCATCTCTTTATTCCATACATACCAACAAATGCAGGTGAAGACAAGCGGTGTAGCAGTAGTCCTCAAAATACACAGGAACAATTTATTATTTTTATTTGAACACATAAATATTGGTAGAGGGGGGGCACCAAATATATAAGCGCCACACAAAACAATGAGAATTTAAAGAGAAGGGAAAAAAAGTAAGGAACGTAGGGAATTATGAAAAAAGAACAATAATGGGGGAAACGAAAAGGTGCAATCAGAAGAGATCTTTCAGTTAAGGAAGAAGCAGACACTTTTTATGAAGAAAGTAGACGAAGGTTACAGCACGATCACCACTGGCTTCTATTCTGAGCCATATCTGATAACCTCTCTAGCCACTGTGTTACACCATCTCTCAGACCCCAGCCAGGGAGTCGTGAAGGACCAACACAAGCCAGCCCTTTGCAGCTTTCTTTCATACCACGACACCATGTCATATATGGTGACCGCCTCTCCGCTTATTCCAACCAGTGCAAATGTCGAAAATAATGCACGACATGGAATTCTCTGGGACGACATTCGTAGAACATGTCCGAGCCACCAAAGTCGGTGTTTCAAGATGGTGACACCAATTGCATTATCGTCTCTGTGCGCGAACACACGATACCAAACCTCTGCATTACTGACATGGTGTTGCCACTAGATTTCAGCAATCCTTCAGATACAACGATGATCGAACACAGAGAGTCATCTAACATCCTCAACTCGGAGAGGCCTGGTTTCATAAGCATAGAGCAAAACTGCTCTCACCGACGCGTTGTAGATCCGACCTTTTACAGCCAGACTGACATCACGAAGGCGCCAAAGATGGCTTGGATTGGCATAAGCCGCTCTGGCCTTCACTATACGTGCATTGATCTCATCACTCACGCCACCACCAGCACTTATGCAGCTACCTAGATACACGAACTACTCGACTACTTCTATCTGCTCACCATCCAGGGTGAGTACAGGATTAGAATCCTGCCAGTCTTGTAGAAGTACTTTGCACTTCGAAGGTGCAAAGCACATACCATACCTACGGACATTGATTGCCAACTGATTAAGTGCGGATTGCATGGCTTAGGTATTCTTGCACAGTAAGACAATATCATTCGCATACTCAAGGTCGAGAAGTCTTTCTCCAGGCAACAGATCTACACCGCCACTACTTACATCCATCAGAGCTGTTTCCAGAATGTCATCAATGGCAAAGTTGAAGAGGAATGGTGAGATTGGGCAACCCTGCCTAACCTCACTGCTTGAATGGAACAATGGAGAAAGGTGGTTGTATGCCCTCACTCTGCCTGAGGTGTTTGTGTATAATGCTTTCAGGATGTTAATAAACTTCTCAGGCACACCCTTCTTCAATAGACAATCTCAGAGAACAGTCCTGTCCAACGAATCGAAGGCAACCCTGATGTCAAGAAACACTACGATTGTTGGCCAGTGATAGGACTTTAGAATCTCGCTCCATCGATGTGTGCTGCATCTTCGAAACACGCATACAGGATCCGAGTAGTGTCATTCATTTGACCTCACCATGTCAAAGTAACGAACCAACTCGATTTACACTTCGTGTATCTGGAAGCCCTGATGCTGCTTCCCGTGGCCTCGCTGGCGTAGGTATAGCATGAACTGTTTTGTTTTAATATGTTTCTAATAATCTTCAAAGGAAAATTATTAAATTGTAAGATGTTAATTATATTCATTTGTTCTTTTTGTTTGTCTTCCTCTGATGTGATGATCTTGTTAGCTCTTCTATAAAGATTTAAGGCTAGCGAGATCTTAGCACTGAAAGGATGTGCTGAATGGAAGTCAATGTAACGATTTGAGTGCGTCGGTTTTCGGTAAATGGTTAGGTTTAGACTTCCATTTGGATTTCTTTTTACTAAGCAATCCAAGAACGGTAGCTCACCATGTACATTTTCATTTTCATTCGTGAATTTGATGTCGTTTCTTTATACACAAATGTTCCCATTGATAAATGCTTAGAATTCATTAGTGGTTTACTTGAGAACGACAATACTCTTCCTGACAGATGTCCGTTGAGCATCAGCCTAATCATGAAATCATTAAAACTCTGCTTAAATTCAACGCTATTTACTTTTAACGGTATGTTATTCAAACAAACTAACGGTGCAGCAATGGGATCCCCTGTATCCCCGATTTTAGCCAACCTTTTTATGGCATACATAGAATCAAATATCTTCGCCCACAACATCATACCACGAATTTGGCTTAGATATGTAGACGATACATTCGTTGTTATAAAAAAGATTCATCTAAGATCTTCTTCAAAACGAATAAATACACTTTCATCGCACATCAAATTCACGGATGAAAATGTACATTGTGAGCTACCGTTCTTGGATTGCTTAGTAAAAAGAAATCCAAATGGAAGTCTAAACCTAACCATTTACCGAAAACCGACGCACTCAAATCGTTACATTGACTTCCATTCAGCACATCCTTTCAGTGCTAAGATCTCGCTAGCCTTAAATCTTTATAGAAGAGCTAACAAGATCATCACATCAGAGGAAGACAAACAAAAAGAACAAATGAATATAATTAACATCTTACAATTTAATAATTTTCCTTTGAAGATTATTAGAAACAAATTAAAACAAAACAGTTCATTACGTTATAATAATAATTCGAATGAAATGCCATGAATTGGCACTGCAGTTCTACCATACCGTCATGGCACAACAGAAGAAATCCAAAGAATCTTGAAACACCACAGAATTAAAGTATACTACAAAACAACGACCACACTACGTAATACTTTAGTCCGCCTAAAAGACAAATCCCTTTCATATACACACAGAACTGCGTCTACAAATTAGGTTGTATCGATTGTGATGCCTATTATATTGGAGAGTCATCGCGCGTAATCTTGACTAGAGCCAAAGAACATATTAGGTACACAAAGAAACCTCCTAACAATCCTGTAGAATTGAACCAACTTCAAATTAAATCGGCAATAGCGGTTCATGCCATTTTCAACAACCACCAAATCGATCATAAGAATATCAAAATATTGCAAAAAGGCTTTTCCAACTACAAAGAAAGGAGGGTAGCTGAGGCATTCCATATAATGCTTAATCCTACGTCTCTCAACAGAAAGGAAGGCCTTACCATACATCCTACTTGGACCATTTATCCTAGCCTTTCAGTCTGATCATATTTACAAATTCACACTATCATATTACAAATTTAAACTCTATCCTTTCTTACCATAAAGGTCACACAATTTTTCATTCTTAAACAATGCACACATACATACACACACAAATTTACATACATATCACTTATGAATCACCTTGACAAAAATAACATGACAGCAACTTGTTCAGACCTGTTTTTGATTGATCAAATATTACTCTTGCATTGTTCCGTTGTACTATTTAAACTTGGATTAATTTTAATTTGGTTATTTATTCTCTGAAGAAGTGACTTACACTAAGTCACGAAACGTCAGAAAATCTAATTTTCTACTCAGTGGGATATTACAAATATATTATTCATTTATAACAATCAACCCAATGCTCAATTTATTCGAAATCATCAAATCAAACCTTGGTAATGATACCAACTAGAAGAACAGTTAGGCAGCCAGCCATGTAAGTGATGCCCACCCTGAGGCAGCGTGGAATGACATCCGAAAAGCTGTAGAAACAACAGTGATGTCTGCAGGTACATTAAACCATACGGTTAGGGAGAAACACTGGATCTCAGCAGCGTCTACCACACTGATAGATGCTCGAAAACTTATTCCATCTGGCTCTGAATATAACGAAGAACGGAGTCAACTTAAGCTCAAGCTGACTAGAAACCTACTCAATGATCGTGAACAGTGGTGGGTAGCGAAAGCAAGAGAGATGGAAAAGGCAGCGGCAATAGGTAACAGCAGGCAACTGTTCAGACTTCTTAAGGAAACCGGTATTAGGAACCCAACTGTTAGCGAAACAATCTCAGAGAAAGATGGACATATTATTCATTCTCAATCCAGGAGATTGGATCGATGGGCAGAACACTTTAGGGGTCAGCTCAACTGGCCTTCAGCCACACTTCAGTTTCCCACGATCTCCAATCTACCTGAATGGCAAGTTAATATAAGTCCTCCAACTCTTTACGAAGTTGAAAGAGCCATAGGAAATCTGAAGCGCGGGAGAGCAACAGGCCCTGACAGGTGTACTCCTGAGATTTTTAAGGATGGTGGTCCAGTATTAGCAACGAGATTGACTGAGGTCTTAGGTAGAATCTGGGAACTGGACGTAATCCCATCTGACTGGTCTCAATCACTGATTGTGCCAGTCTATATTATTTATTTATTTTAACACATAGGTATAGGTACAAGGAGGCACCAAGTACATATGCGCCACACGAATCTCAACTGATTTGTGTGAGGACTCTGATACTGCCCGGGTGCCCAAACTGAAGCAAGTGGTTTTCTTAGGGGACCACACCGCAAACCTTCGACCTGAGCGTCTGACCAACAAGGCAGTGGAGTATCGTAAGGAGATGCAGTCCCACGGTAGCCGGTGACCAACGATTAGTTCAGTCAGTCAGTCAGCTGCAACGTAGGACCAGGCACGTATATGCATCGGTCCAAGTTGCCATACCGCATTAGCACAACAACATGAACACCGGATTCATAGGAGTAGTTAATTCAGTGGTGGTAATATATAGAAGAAAGATTGTGTATAAGGAGATAGTAAAGGAAGAAAGAATTAGTCCCTAGACAGATATGAAGCGATTTTAATCTCTTAATTTAAGGAAGACAGAGAGTGTATACACCGACGCCATTGTGATCGATTCTGAGCCATGTCACCAAGAGTCTCCAACCATTGGTTACGATAGTCACGCGGACCCCAACCAGGCAGTCTGAATCTCCCAACATGGCTCAGACCAGAAGTTAGTGACTTCAAGCACTGATGCCACGTTTTGGTTTGGCCGCCCCTAACTTTCTTCCAATTATCCCCTGCACTAGTCAGCATTGCGCGTCGTGGTAATCGGTGTTCAGGCATACGCAACACGTGGCCCAACCATCTCAGTCGATGAAGATTCATAACCTCATCAACTGATTTACCATCATTCCCTAATACCCTGCGTCTAACCTCACTATTACTTACCCGGTGATCCCAGCAGATACCCGCAATATTTCTAAGGCATCTGTGGTCAAATACTAGTAACTTACGAATATCTTCTACTCTTAAAGGCCATGTTTCGCAGCCGTATAGAAGGACGGAACGAACTGCCGCGCAGTATACTCGTCCCTTAATTGATAGACGGATATCTCGCCTTCGCCATAGATGACGTAAGTTGGCAAAGGCCAAACGAGCTTTTCGAATCCGTGCTGAGATTTCGTCAGACACCAACCCATTAGGGCTGATCAGACTTCCAAGATAAGTGAAGCTGTCGACGCGTTCGACTACTTCACCCCCTATCCTTAGTTCAGGTGTTGATGCAGACCAGTCCTGAAGCAACAACTTGCATTTAGAGGGAGAGAAGCGCATCCCAAACATTGTGGCATTGTTGCTCAGTGCTACCGAAAGACTCCACTTCATCAGCGTCTTCACCAAACAGGACTTGTCATCTGCGTATTCTAAGTCAATAAGTGGACCTCCTGGTAGGAGATCAATATCTGAGAATTCACTCGATGAGAGCGTTATTTCCATCAGTAGATCTATGATGAAGTTGAACAAAAATGGAGAAAGTGGACAGCCTTGGCGGACGCCACTTGAGGTTGCAAAAGCAGATGACAGTTCGCCATAGGCTCTGACCCGACTAGTAGTGTTCGAGTAAAGAGCCTTCACAAGGTTTATGTACTTCTGAGGTACGCCTTTCAATGACAGACACTGCCACAGAACCTCTCGGTCAACAGAGTCAAACGCTGCTTTTAAGTCAAGGAATACCATCATTGTCGGACGCCGATAAGTATGCCTGTGTTCTAGAACCTGACGAATGGTGAATATGTGGTCGATGCAGCCACGCCCAGGTCTGAAGCCAGCCTGATTTTCACGTGTTTGCAGTTCACGAGTCTTAGTTAGGCGTCCGAAAATTATCGAAGCTAGTATTTTAGATATTATATTAGTTAAACTAATCCCTCTGTGGTTGTCACAGGATGATTTTGACCCTTTCTTAAATATTGGGACGATAAGTGATTGTGACCAGTTAGATGGGATAACGTCTAACTCCCAGATTTTAGCTAAAATATTAGTCAACCTAATCGCTAAAACTAGACCACCATCCTTAAAGACCTCTGGGGCCAATCCATCTGGACCAGCTGCCCTTCCTCGTTTCAGATTAGCTATAGCCTTTTGAACTTCAGCTAGAGTTGGAGGACCTACTTCAATGTTCCATTCACACTGTCTGGGAATAGAGGGTAGTTGTAGAGTAGCTGAAGGCCAGCTAAACTGCTCCTTAAAGTGTTCCGCCCATCGTTCTAAGCGTCTGGATTGGGAGCAGATGAGTGTCGTCTTTTTCCGAAATGGTCTGACTTACACTTGATTTATGAATTCCAGTTTCTTTTATTAGTCTGTAGAGTTGTCTTGTATTCCCTATAGCCGCCGCCTTTTCCATCTCTTTTGCTTTCGTTGCCCACCACTGCTCACGATCATTCTTTAGACTTTTGCTTAATCTAGATTTGATTTCTTTACGCTCTTCATCGTATTCAAAACCTGATGGGATGAGTTTGCGAGAATCTATCAGTGCAATAGACCTTGACGAAATCCATTGGTTCTTTGTAACCCTGTGGTTTAACTCACTGGTAGATGTCAATGCTGTTTCCACAGCTGCTTGTATAACTTTCCAAGCAACATCTGGGTCAGTCTCGTTTTCAGAACTACCTAAGTGTGACCTCAGTTGTTCCTGGAACCTACTTTTGGCTTTCTCATTACTCAATTCGGTTCTAATGAGTCTTTTTTGCGTCCAGTGAAGCGCAAGTAGATGCGTGCTCGTACTAGAGCACGGTCGGAGTCCAAGCAGGTACTCCAGAATGAGCGACAATCTTCTATCGACCCTCTCCAACGATGACTGATGGCAATATGGTCTATTTGAGTCCATCGTTGGTTTGGTGCAGGGGGTCGCCATGTTAGACGATGTCTCTCCTTATGCTTAAAATTTGTGTTTGCTAAAAATAAACGATTGTCTGAGCACAGTTGCAGCAGACGATCACCATTATCTGTTCGCTGTGCCGGAATACTAAAATACCCACCTAAATGTCTTTCTGTTTCGTTTAAGCTACCTACCTGGGCATTAAAGTCACCTCCTACGAGTACTATGTCTGAACGTTTAGCTTTCTGAAGAAGTTCAGACAGATTTCTGTAAAATTCATCTTTCACTTCATCCGAACTGCAGTCAGTGGGAGCGTAGGCAGAAACGACGAAAAGGCAACGACGTGTGTCCCTATCCTTTCGAGTTCTTACGGAGCCGTTTAGCCGAACAGCGCATAGACGACTGTTAACGGGGATCCACTCTAATAGCGCTTGTTCCACCCTCATGCTTAGTGCTATGCCTACACCTGCAAGTCCACGAGAACTAGCCATCGGGTCGCCAGATACACGGAGGGTGTATCTCGTCGGCACTCCGTTTTGCCGAGGTGAGGTCAAGTGAATGACCACACTAGGATCCTGTATGCGTGTTTCGGAGACACAGCATACATAAATCGTACGAGATTCTAAGGTTTTAGCCAAGGAAGCCTGCTGACCGATTTGGCATAGTGTGCGTACGTTGAAGGCTCCAATGTGTAGTTTGGAGCGAGGTTTCAGTAGACCTGAGACGGTGTTTTGAGCACTAGAATCGTTGGCTGTGGTGACACTTGAGGAGGAAGCTAAAAGAGGAAGTTTAGTGTATAAAGTCGATGTAGGAGGAATAATAGGAATTGAAGAGGTAGGTTGACTATGAATACAGTGGTCTTGAGTGCTGTTAGAGGTATGAGGGCGGTTATCACTTCCCGGTTGCCCACACCGTGGAAGGGTTCTTCTGAAGGTACCTGAAAAGGAAATTGGATTAGAGTTGGTCATAGTGACCTAAAAGCGTGGTATTTCCTTGTACTTATATTTATGTATCTAAATAAATATTTGTTACTACATTACTCTGAAACATGCATCGCTCTCAGTGTTACATTCTCTTAACTTTATTACTTCCACATCTCAGTCTACTCACCTTCGTTGCGGCACAAATCATATGTTGGTGTTTAGTAACTCCACTGTTTTAAGACTCTTTGACCACTATTTGTGAGACTGCAAGAATTCCAAGTCTTTGATATTTAAATTACGAAACGTTTTTGAGTAGTCACTCTCTCTTGTATGTGACAGGTAATTAGTGAAAACATAAAGTAACTCACTAAACGATGAAATCAGAACTTTATGTGCTTCGTATTCAACTAGCAATTTTAAGATTCCCAGAGTTGCTTTCGTAACGCTATCAAAACTTACAAGAAAGAAGGGATGCTCTTTATGCTGTCACAAGATGGGGATGTCAGTTTCGTTGTTCTTGTAAGCGTGAATATTATTACTAACTAAATGAATGACAAATGATGTGTTATATTTAGTGAAATAAGTGATTATAGACTAACACTGAGTCTAAAAAACACAGAATGTTCATCTGTTTGAGTCTAATAGCTGGGTTTATATCAACAATGTTTGAAATGTGCTCGTAACGTAACTTAAAATAATTCGGAGATATATATTTGCACTCATCCCTCAACATCCCATTTTGGATTTACCTCACTAAGTTGTATTTTTCTCACACTCACAGTTTTGATTTGCAGATACTCAAAACAGGTAAACGAGTGACTCAAATGAATTCTCACAGAATCGTAAGTTTCTGTTGAGGAATCGTAACATAATGCGAATATATCATTCTTCTTTCGTAGCTTTTTTTAAAAATAGAAGGGAATAGTAAAAGGGGAGAACAATTACAACTATTACGTATGGTATAGTTCTTTGAAGATCCTGTCGAGTAAAAAAGCAATGTTCTTAGGATTACCCTTCAGTTTGCGTTCACGTTCGCAGTTTTCAAGACAATAACTTTATCAAGTGACAAGAAAACGGTCACGTAAATGGTACCCACTGAAACGTAAAGTGTACAGACTTACATCACTTGAGTCCATTTTATATCGTGCCAACTGTTTTTCGTACATAACAAGTCGATTAGGGACTACCGCCATTATATTGAACTTTCCGTCTACACATTTCTCCATACGCTTCATTAGCAACGGACGAACCGAATCTATCCAAGATGAATTTTCAGGTAGTTTTCCGTGGTCAACAGGGCCGGGTTTTAAGCCATCTAATTCGTACAAAGTACCATTAATAGGAACATAACCAACAAAATGGTAAACATCTTCATTTGACTTAGGAGTCTTCTCATCAAACTCGAATAACTGATAACTAATTACATATTAGCAACACGAAGGAAAATTACTTGCTAAAGCTGTTATGTACGACTCTAATTTGATCAGAATTGCTTATTGCAGTACCCTTCATCTAGAAAAACTTGTTAGGAAGACATATGTCATACTGTACTGTCAAAGTCTGACACGAAAGACTTGAAATCAGACAATGTTGAGCCAATGGGCACTTTGTCATCAATATTTAGCAAGATATTAATAATTGCTTGAGTCGCACAAGCATTTGAAATTGTCTAACAGAAATGTATGAACAATTACTACGCTACTTGTTTCGCAAAAAATATGCCCCTGTTGCTTGCGTCAGTTACCACATTTCCAATCTCATCCTGTTTGTCATCATAGTTAAATAAGAAAATAAACCCAAGTGCGTCAGATACGTTGCTTGTTTCTGTCAGATCATAAACTTCTTCGCATTCCAAACTTTCTACACCTATAAACTAAATTAACCAGTGTGCTATGACTAACCGAAACCTCTAATAAGTTCAGTGAATACTCCGGGATCGCTTTCTATTAAACACCAATTACCACCACTCGACATTGTTGAAATTCGGCCTTCAGAATGAATTTCCCTGACGCATAAAAAGTAATGGTGGAGAAGATTTGTAGCTCAGGTGGATGATTTTGATGGAGTTTTGTTCTCTGAGCTGGATGGTTTGGTCGTGGAGCTTTCATCGTTCTTCTGAACGACATCATCAGCACAAACTTCAGATAGATAGCTCAGCGAACAAAACTCCATCAACAGAAAAAGTAAAATAAGCTCACCATTTAGTGAGGGATACTGTCATGAACTACCATTTCCTTCTGATAAAAAGCTCAAAATTTACAGATCAAACTGTTTTAGCACAAAACTTATGTTTATGCACCCTGCATATTCTTGTTATCAGAGGTACAAGCATATCTCATCAACCATGTTATTAGGTCTCTCTAAGCGGAGATTCAGCTACTTGGAAGTGTTCACTGATGGAGTTGATACCACTTATTCGGATAGGGCTCTCCAGTCATTGATCACTCTGTGAGAAAACGGGAATCCCGCTCCGAGTTTATTTGATCGCGGTTTTTGAACCCTCTCTCAGAGGTCTCACAGATGACTAGTTCCAATGGTGGAAAAGGACCAAGCACGTTAACATCTTAATCATTATTTAAGATCCAGAGTGCCAATATAAGGTTACCGCTCGTTTTACGGTAAGGTAAAGCGAAAAGGTTTGAACTTTTGGTCCCTTATCATAGGAGAATCAGGAAAACCCGTTGACAACCTAATTTTAACACTTTGAAAATGGTGAGGTGTGGTAGAATCCTCAATAAGACATGGATTAGCTTCCCGGATCCATTATTCCAAGTGGACTATAAAGTCTGAAATACATCTGAAACACATGTTCGAGTGCTTAGTGTAGTGACCATAGCACTCGAGAATCTTTGGTACTTTCTTCATTGCAAGACATAGTTGTTTTTAAGTCACAACCCACTATTACGCATAAGTCTTTTGTTCCTGCACGCGTGGAAGCGGTTGAGTATTACTGTCTCAGGAAAACTTGGTAATTTGAACCCATATTAAGGATTGTGTTCTGTGCGAATTCTGAGCCAGCTTTCTCAATGAACAAATGTTGTTGTAATTTTTTTAAAATTTTAAACGCACGTGTACGATGCTTTTTTGTGAATAACGTGAAGTTTGGAAACTAGTCCATCCCAAAAATTATCCCAGCATTATTAGTTCATTGCAAATCGTGATACGTTTCGCACCGTTTTTGATATTTTTCCCTTATTATCCTTTTCTTTCTTACCTTTTATAACTTTATTTTGACTTTTATATTTCACACCTAAATATGCGCAAGTGTTTGGTGGTCAGATTGTTCAGGGCGTATTGTGCTTGTAGCGGTAAATAAATCCCCAAAATAAATAGCTCTGTAAGTTTTCGACATTGGATGCTGACCACATTAGTTTTAATGGACTCATCTAGCTGAAGGCGCTCGGTCATGCATCCGCACAAAATCACGTGTGGGAACGCCGTGCTCAACATCTACTGCAATCGCTAGCCAGATTAGTTCAAACGATCCTCGATATATCGGTAGCTTATCAAATATATCTTCGAACCTCCTCGCTTCTGTCTTTTGATTTTACTTGGTGGGTACGCTTCATATTAGAAGGTGTTACTGGTTAAAGCGTTGTCAAACTCCGAATACCTGTTGCATCTTCATACTAGTGTAACACATGGATCTGAGAAACTTTGTTTTCCTGTTAGATCGCCCGAGGTTTTACAGTATATCAAATATTTAAAATGTGAAGTTGTTACCATGATAACAGTGACGGTTCTCCAAAATGTGGGTCGGCATTCTGTCCACACACAAGCAAAATATGGTACGATGTGGAATTCGTGATAAGTCACTGATAGCGGAAGAAATTCCGAAATTATAAATTGAGTTTTGTGAGAATTTCTCCAATCAACGTTTTCTCGTATGCTTGTAGGGACAGTGGAGTACTGTGGAAACCCTTTAACGCGACCATGGGGTCGGTGATATGTCACTGGGCCCTAGCCAAACCAAGCATGTCAGGTCACTGAATATCAAGGGCTTCATTGACTTCCTCCAGGGTCGAAAATAATCAATGAGCGTTAGTCAGTTTCACTCTACGGATCGGCACACGCGGCAGTGATATCACTTTTTTTATTGCGCTTATTCTTACTAATGAGTTATTGTTATGTCGCTCTGTGAGTTCCTTAAAGACATCAAAGTAGTTATAGTGCCTGGATTTGATGAAAGGATGGTCCACGTTATTTGTTGTGCTGCATGGTAGTCACATAATTTCTGTCCAACTTCAGTAGGCTCCGATCCTCCACACAAATCACCTAAGTTCGTGATTTACACGGCCATGCGAACTTGGTTTATTTCTATTAGACAAAGGTCCTAGAAGACCGCAATTTCTTCTGCCACAATACCATCAGGTTTTACAAACGTCTTGGGGTTTCGATATAAATTAATATACACACACCAGTCATCATTGTCATTTTATTATATTATGTTGGTGGTCTAATACTTACTTACGTCCGTTACTCCTCGTGAAGGAGCATAGGTCGCTCACCAGCATTCTCCATTCAATCCTGCCCCGATCAATCCTTTCCAGTGCTTTCCAGTTGTTATTCATCCTTTTCATATCTGCTTCTATTTCTCGACGTAATGTGTTGGTTGGCCTTCCTTTTTTCGCTTCCCTTCAGGATTTGCGTAATGTATGTCCTATCCATTTCCATCGTTTTTCCTAATTTCTTCTTCGGCTGAAAACTGGCTTGTTTGTATGCGATAGGATGGCTAGGTCATCTGTAAAGTTCAAACCATCTAATTGGTTCTGAGCTGTGCATTTTACGCTGTGTTTTCCCTCAGGCGTCTTCGTAATTCAGTCGGCCACCAGAAGAAAGAGGAAGGGAGAGGATAGACAGCCTTGTCTGACTCCGGTCCTTATTTGGAATTCATCTGTCCGCTGTCCTCTATGCACTACTTCACATTGTAGTCTGCCATGTGAATTCAGGATAATGTTGATAATTTTCTTAGAAACTCCACAATGTTGAGAAAGATTCCATAATATTCTTCTATCTACACTGTCAATCGCATTACCATAATCAATGAAGCTACTGTTTAGTGACGAGTTTCATTCAGTTGACTGTTCAACGATGATCCGTAGTGTCGCAATTCGGTCTGTGCGCGACCGATCCTTACGGAATCCAGTTCGTTGATTTCGATGTTGGGCATCTACTGCGCCTTTCATCCGGTTTAGCAACACTGTGCTAAACGCTTTCCCTGGTACTGACAGTAGTGTGATGAATAATGGTGGTCTAGTACCACAAATATATTGGATGATGCCGACACCAGACTTAAGTCTGATGCACTCTACCAAATTAGCCTCGTCGTAGATCAAGAGATCAAACTCTTATTTATGTATGTGTAGAGTGCTAGTAGAAATCTGTTTTTTGTCATTAACATTTCGTCAAGAAATTTGCATGCAACAAAATTGTAATATAATACAAAAAGCAGATCAAGAAACAAGCATAATTTTTCACTAGTGTGTCAGTGAAACTCCAGATTTAATCTTAGTTATCTTCAGGTTTTCTTTACGTAGCTAAAACATAATTTCATTAGACACAACATTTAATCTCAGGAAATTTGACACCAAGTTATATGTTTGTGCTATTTCCTTAAGTTGCTACAAATGCTCACGATTTTTCGAGTTCCCACCCAGCAAAATCGTGTACATTTATGAAGCATAAGATAACGAACGGTCTGTGTCCGCAAGACGATCGAAGAATAACTCGCTATCGCAGCTCTCACTCCATTTTCACATATTGCTTAGCGAAAATGCCACATGTGGGGCGATCCTGAAACATAGATGATTACGAACTGTTCAGTGCTACTTCCAACACCGTTTAAACGCATCGGACGACGACACCAGTGTATGTAGTTTACAAGTATTGTGTACAAGGTTTCTTCTACATGGGTTCCACTCGAAATGTCCTAAATCAGCCAGACTAGAACTCATCACAAGCGTAGAATGTCTCATAAAACTTGCTGCTGAAGGAAAATAAATGATAAAATCTGGAACAACTTGCCATAAGGACAAAGGTCAATGTCAGGTTATAAGAGTCTAGGCGTTAGAAATTTTCTGTTAAACATCAGGTCTTTTGCGGCTTGTTTGTTGACTTCGGGGAGGGAATGGTTCTACGAAATTAAAGCACTGTATAAAAAATCAGAGGACAACGATGACTGTCATCCAAATGTTGACTGTCAACAACTTAATATGAAAACCACGCCAAATATTTACACCTTACTGCACATCCGTGACTCAATAATTACTTTAAAACGTACAACTGTCCTTTCAAAAATTGTCTTCAATAAGGTGTCGGACATACCATTGATACTTAAAGCATTCTCTCTGCAAAACAATGCGGCGACAATTCTCAGTAACCTAGAACCAACCATAATTAAGCTGTTGCTCGCATTCTGAAAACTAGTAGATTTCTATCGGTGACTCATGACGAATCGCGCGTCCCTTATGATTTTCTCAACAGACCAAGGTTGTGGAAATACGAAATTCATCGATCTGGACAATGACGCAATAAAGTGTTCTTCAAAATGGAGGAAATTATTGCGAAGCAACTACACTCGAAGACCGGGACATCAGAGTCTATATCGGCATTACCGTAGGCGCACCCGACTCAACGATCCGAGGGGTGCTACAACCATGGGTAAACAACACCTGACAACCTATGATATTCTCTTCGAAACGATTGTGGGACACTGAATCGAGTTATAGCGTTTCCGGCAGGAAATTCCTAGCCATGTATTGTGCCGTATGGCTCATTCAACACTTTGTTGGAAGCAGAGAATCCACTCTGTTTGCCAACCATAAACATATTCTCTTAGTTCATGTTCAGATGAGCGTTGTCATCAAATAATGCCGATAACTGAATCTCATCTCTCAGTTAACTTCAGATATACAACATATATCTGGAGCAAGCAGTGTAGTTGCAAACACTTTTTCTTGTATAGCTTCCTTGAACAGTTTCCAAAGTATTGACCTGCTTAGGCTCTCCTAGCTTCAAGAAGAGGACAGATCTTCAGCACGAGCTTTC